TGAGAAATACAGATGGAGAACTAATAGAAGAGGGAAGAGGCACGCCAAATATCACCTGATCCAACCTAACTATTGGGGGCAAGTTAACTGGTGTGCCCTTGTCAGCTTGCGCAACCCGGGCGTATGCGTTCTAGTACCAGTTGCTATTTTCAGTCCTGTAGGAAAGGGTGCGACTCTGTGCGCCAGCCTTGTGTTTTTTTTTGCCAACCAGTTTGTGAGCCTTGTCCTGGCAAAAACCGCATTCTTGTGTGACCGCGGATCGGGGAGGCACTCAAGAACACTACATTAAGCTGGCCGGTCGTTGCAGACGTAGCCAAATGAATAGATTAACATGGGTGAGAGCAACGCCGTTAGCTTTTGAAGGAACAGAACAGAACGAGAGATTAGCGAATATACACTCATCTGCAAACCAATTTGGTTCTTTCGAGCGACTCACCTGGAACCCAGCTGAATCTCTCGTTTATGATGTTCTCAGGCAACTGAATGTGCTGCACCAACAACCTTATGAGTAGTACATTACAAAGATATACATGTATCGCGATATTTCAAATATCGTAGCGACTGAAACATGAGGCGGCCTGGTGCAGCACATTCAGTTGCCTGAGAACATCATAAACGAGAGATTCAGCTGGGTTCCAGGTGAGTCTCCGTCAACATTATGATCTAATTGAACCCAAATTGGACTGTTTAGTAGTTGTATTTTTGCTGGATATTGGTTTGGTCATCACTTAATGGCCAAGTGATTCTCGGGTTACCGATTGAAAACCGCAAACCGATGGATTTTCAGCAACCTTATGAGTAGTACATTACAAATATAGAACGAGAGATTCAGTTGAGTCTCCCGTGAAAACCAAATTGATTTGCAAATGGGTGTATTTCTCGAAAACAGTCCAATTTAGGTTTAAGTAAAACATAAGGTTGGCGGAAACCCGGGGACTGCGATTACCTGACGAGCCCCAAACGGAAGGGCGAAACCGGTCGTGGGCTGTCGAAGAGTTTTTAGCAACCTTGTGAGTAGTTTCCTTTATGAAAACAGAACAACGTTTAAGGCGTTCCCCAACTTACACCTTATTAGCCGAATCGCCTGTGAAAGGTGAGCCCCCAAAGAGACCTCCATCGCCGTTGCTATAGTTGGTCTTAGGGGAGATTGTCAGCCACTTTCTGGACACCTCTCCTCTAACCGCACCTTTGTCATTTCGTTCCACAACGCCTCACTGAAGCTCTTGAATCAATGCTTTTGACGGGATAACGTTTTTATATCTGATAGATAATTGAAATGCACGTTCAAAAAGCACAGCCTTATGTTCTATGGCGAAGCTTGTACGGAAATGGGTACGATTAAAGCAGTCAGATACGAATGTTTCAGTGGGATTGTTCGGAACCATCAGTGGACTCCCTATCCAGCGCTACCATGCGCGCATATCTGCAAGTAAACAGACCACACAGAGATATCAGATAAGAAAACATCAATTCGTCTATATAGGTTGCCGTTGAACTGTCAGTTGAACGCACGTCGACGAGTGGATAAAATAATTACAAATTTCGAATTCGTCCCGAAACCACAGATGATATTGGTCAATGGGACATTTGTAAAAGGTGGTGGAGATAAAGAGGGAATGTACCAGGATATGGATGGCTTGGGTCCGTTCACTGGTGGNGAGGTAACGGATGTATACCAATGGGTTGGTACTGAAGCAAGCCCCGAGGAGTGTAATACATTCGAATCATTTTTTGCTACGATTTTGCGCGTTCGCCCCAGAAACTCCGATGGGAAAGTTGTCAGACTGCTTCACTGCTTTGACGAGGCTGAGTGATTTGTAGAAGTGCACTTTACTTCGTTAAAATGGGCGGCTTTCAAAGTGAACAGATTGTGTTTCAGATTTGCTGGTGAATGTGACAACAGTAGCAAAGAACTTTCTGATGTACCGCGTGTCGTAAGAAACCACCAGTTTGGCTTCCAGGCAAACTGGCTTTCGACTTGAAGGAATCACTGATGAAATATGGTAGATTGGCTTTACCCGAACTCCGCTTTCATGTGTGATGGGCCATACAAGTATGATGCAATGAAAACAAGGCGCATGAAATTGAGCACTGGTTGTCTAGTGAAATCACAACCCCGGATACTTTGACGGGCTTTTCGGGGATTCGTCTTCTTTTCGGCACTGTGAGTATTGTTTTCTAGGGAGCGGTCAGTGTACGCCTATTTTTTGTTACCGTGGCTTAGGTACCGCAATTTTCGATATTGTCCACATGCTGGGTAACGTTGGTCTGGTGATTTTTTTCGGGATGTCATCCGTTCGTCGTAGTTCACTATTACCGGTGATGTCACAAATTCGAAATGTCAACATCTACCAACTTATGTGTGCATCAGTTGCTGGCCAAGTGATTTAAGTGGACCGACGCATATGAACAGCGGTTGTGTAACCCACGAGTGCGGATGGTGTTGACGCTTTGCCACGGAAACGACAATTGATAATCAGAAGTTATGGCCTCCTTGGTCCAATGTGGAATTACAACTGAACGCGGAAACCGTGAACTAAGAATAATTGCTTCGTTCAAAGTATCTTGCAAATACGTATGTCTAGTGAGGGTTGAAGTTAAACTGGACAGCGAACAGGAATGTGGGCGCGTAAAACACTTCCAGGTTCGAAGTATCTGAGACAGAATGCAGCACAAAAGATGACCTTGAACGAGGTCTCTGAAGCCACTAAATCCATGCTGATTAGCCGCCCCCGATGACGTCATCCAGCCAGCCGAAAGCCATTGCTAATGTGACCGAGGTCACTCGAAGTTTTGTATGGTAGTTCCGGTGGTCTGAAATTGTTTTCGATCAACAACACATGATGACGTGATGAGCTGAAGCTTGTATCTAGGTCATATCACAGATGGTCCGTTTAGGTCGTTTCGGCGATAACTTTATCGCACCGATCGGAAGTCAGTCGGCAAAGTGTATCCCACTCAGAGCGTCGGTTTGCAGTCGTGTGGAGAGGAGTAAAACGTGAAAAATGGCGACAATTCGAGTTTTTGATACACATCTGTCTTGGATGGAAACATGGCTGCATAGCTTGGTGTCCGGGTGTATGGTATTGTTAACGGCCTGTGTCAGGAAAAACATATGTTAACTACATGGGTGTTAGTTGTGGTGGTTTCGTTTCGTTCAGGATAGATTGAATTGTTGATTTTGGTTCGTACGTGTTGGAATGTTGCTTTTTTGATGTGCTAGTCCTTACGATTGTTTAGTTGTGTCTGTTGACTTCGGTTTCAGAGAGTGCAGCTCACTCCCCAGAAAAACCAGAGCATGAAAAATAGAAATTGCTCGAATGTTTGGATGAGTGCGAAATGAGTTGCGAAAGTATTTCTGAGATATGAGGTCCGCCGTTTCTCGTTATTATTCAGCTAGACGGTTCATCAATTCGATGAAATATATCTTACTTGCGAACACGATATCCGCGTATCGTACACTCTCTGTCACTCTTTGGAAAGATAACACGCGTGGAAGTAAGAATGATAGCCGGCAGACTGACTGTGAAGTCCCCTCTGCCCAACGTTGAGGTCTCTAGCTATGATGACATTTTTGTCGCATCGAGTTATCTGCAGCGGAATCCGTGAGAGCCAGAAAGTTGCCGTGGCCAGACGCTGTACGAATCAGTCAATTCACGATCGACTGTTCCATGCCGGGATATGCGGGACTGAGTGTCACTTGATGGTATATGACTCCCCACTCGGTCTGATATCCATCCCGCTCTAGGTTTTCCGTTGGTCCACTGTACCGCGTGAACGCGACTCAGGCACTGTTCCTGAGCTTGTGGCTTTTTGGTCTACCTCACTTTCAACTTGAACAACAGCTCCGGCAACACCTCCGCACCTGGCTGACCCCGTTAAATTAGTGCTTCCTTGGAGCAGAAAAAGACCTCAAGTTCATTTGGTGGTGTTCATTGCCCCTGGTTGTGACCAAACACAACACTTTTGGAAGGCCAATGCGAAAATCATCCTCGAACTGCAGTTGAATTTACCGCATAGCAGTTGAGGATATGAAGTGAAAATACAGAAACTACATTTGAGGTCATATCTGATGGCCAGTGGGGTTTGCAGAATTCACGCTCACACCACTCTTGTTTGAACAGTCCTTCTTCTGTCCTGGAACGGTTATTCTGGTGAGTTTATACCAATGAATGAGAGCACTGGACTGCAGTTTCGCTCTTATTAGAGCTCATCAGTAGTGCATACCCTTGCTGGTACCTGGTTTTGAATTCCGGACACCTGAAACTCAGGGCAAACATGTTAAAACTACTCCAACACTGCACGTTGGATGCTACTTCTGGGAAGGCGAACATGTTCACGCTTGATCGAACAACGACGCGTGAATTATTACGTCTGGGAAGGTGAACATGTTCACGCTTGATCGAACAACGACTCAGGACATTTGTCCTGGTTGTGTCGGCCGCTCAACCCGCTTGTCAGAATTTCCCAGTCAGGTGACGTCACGGACGGTTGAAGTCTGCCGGACAATTTGGCTTACGTGAAATCAGAATGGTAGATGTGTATGTAGGTATACTTTCATGATAACAGTTTGTGGTAACTTAACCTTTGGCGACAAGTTAACCACTCGACGGTGACAAGCGATACGTTCAACTTGAACGGGACTAGGGGAACAGAAAACCACGATAAGTCATGCCACGAATGTCGAACAGTCAGGCACGCTGCATAAATTAAAACGAGTTGTCTGGAGTGACAATCTGTGGGATGTTGTGGATGTTGATTTGGGGGTAAAATAAACGGACAAAAAGGTAAACGTGCCGACAAGACATCTCAGCTGAAGATTTTCGACCCGGCAAATGGACCTCAATGGCCTGGCGGTTGAAGCAGCACTGGTTAGTGTCAGTTAGATCAGGACTGTTCACTAGCAAGAACAACGACAAGACACTGGAGGAGCTAGTAAAACTGTTGCGACGCATTAGCTAACTTGCTTCGAATGCGAGCGGTTCAACTCAGAAACTTACCGCGGTCAGAGAAATCGTCTACTAAAATGATTTCTTTGAGCAGGTGGCTCGGTGCATTGTCCATCACAGAATGTACCGAACGGAGCAGTGCTGACCAGGCTTCATTGTGGAAACAAATGACAACTGCGGCCTGAGGAAGATCTGGGTGGAACTTTTGGGTCAGGCAGCTGTGGACAAGAAACAAAGGATGTGAAAGGAATGGACGAAGTGGAGTGACTAGGAATATATCTCCGGGTGGATAAGACGGCAAAATCATGATACCAGTATCGAAACAGATGAACTGTGAAACGCCCCCGCTAAACGTTTCGTCATGGCATGCAGCGGTTGAAATTTGGGTCGACTACCACAATCTGACCATCTTGAGTGCCTCTCTCTAGTTAATGCACACCTTTTTGTGTCAGATATATGCCTGCGCGAGAGGCTATAAGTTTAACTCATTTCACCGGTCTAGTTGGTATTGTGTGGTCTCTGGTTCATTATGGACAGCAAATAATTACACCTGTCGGCTCGGATGGTCACACCACTGAGACCACACAAGCAAAGGAATGTTGTCATCTGCATATAGACAACTTTGCGTTTGTTACGTGGATGGTTAAGCGTACGTTTCAATGATAATCTCGAACTTTGCATATCAGTTCGCCGATGTTACCTGGCCGTGTGTAGATAAAGTGCGATGAGAGCAATTCGAGTGCCCTAACTCAGATGACGGTGATGGTGCACGTGACCGAATCGATACGGACGAGCGATCGCCAAGTGCTCATCGATACATCGCATGCAAATTGGCCCATATGCCACCATGTCCAGTGGAGACAGTCAAAATGCATTGTCAGTGCAACACGCAGACCGACAATTTGATTAGTAAAAACGCGTACAACAGAGAAAAACATACAACCCGAGGCGATCGAACGCGGCGGGCCAGCGAGGGATTGACCGATATCAATAGTACGTGAAACAGTCTGTTAAATGATAAAATAAAGGGATTTTTCTAATTTTTTAAACATACCGCTCAAACCGAAAGTGGATGAAACGAAAAAACCATCACTTCAAAGAGGTCCTATGATTATCGGTCAGTTGGCTCAGTCAGGAAATGATGTGAAAATAGACTGGACATTTGGGTAACGTTTGGACGGATTCCGGGCGGTTCTGATTGTCTTGACCCAAGCAGTGATACCCAATCTAATCTATGATATATAACCTGCCATGTCGTTAGAGCACTGTCAACCAATCCCAAAGGACACGAGTGGATTTACTGGACCAAGCGATATCACAAGACTTTGATCAAACGTTCATTCATTTGGCGTCAAGAGCGAACTATCGGAGAAATAATGTCGAAGAGTTTTTAGCAAACTTGTGAGTAGTATCCTTCATGAAAATATACTGTGATATCCCGAATATCGTGCCAACTGAAACATGAGGCGGCCTGTGCGCAGCGCATTCAGTTGCAGAATATCATAAACGAGAGATTCAGTTGAGTCTCTCGTGAAAACCGAATTGGTCTGCAAATGAGTGTATCTCTCGAATAATGTATCTATTTTCAAAGAAGTGAGCTGGATAGTATTGGATTTTAAAGCGATTATCAAATTTGATCTCTCTTAAGCTGCAGGGCGCAGCAGAATGAACGATTCATTGGGATTTCGAAGCTTCAGTTTCATCTCGTGAGCAAGGTCAATCTGTACTGAAAGGCCAAGAGGCACCGCACGACTCTCCTTTTTTGGAACGGCCATGAATCTCTAAAGCGACCCGAACCCACGGTAGTGGTTCTACATCTTAACTGCGAGCCAATCGCAGTGGTCGCATGGCATGGTATAGACAGGAGATCGTGGATTCAGATCACGTCAACGATTGGCGAAAGACGCACTGCTGATGATGCTCACCGACGATGAGTCAGCTTTTCGGCTCAGACTGACTGACTTCATTTGAAGGAAGAAAGTTCACGTGATACCAAGACACAAACGTGGCGAGTTCCGAATGAAAATTCTTATCGTCATCAGTTGTAGAACCGCGTACTTGCTCTGCGGTGGTTATAGCTGTCGTTCGCCGATGATTTGGGGAGGTGGGGTAGATAGCCACGCATTGAAGGCGGTAGCTGACACAATTGATTCCTAAATACAAGGGTGGCAGTAGACTTTTCATTGGGAAGGGGAGCTATGCAATGAACACAACAGCTTGAATGCACGAGCGCCATTGAGAGCGCGACCGGGTCATGTCTGACAGTGTCTCTAATCATTGATGCGTCCCGTCACGGGGTCCCCATTCAGGGAGGCAACAATGACCAGCTCAGCTGAGTTTGCTGGAGGTAACAATGACCAGCTCAGCTGAGTTTGCTGGTAATGGCTGAGAACGTCAAAAGACTTTCGCTGTTTGACCACCGATGTCTTCAAAGCATTTCCCGAGTCTGGTGGGAACACCTGATCGTCAGTGAAGCATCATTCAAATGGTTTTTGGAAGAAATAACTCGCACTAGATAGGTGAACTGTTCACACTTTTTAGGTTGCACTGGCTTCGTCATGTGCTCCGTATACCAGCTGACCGAGAGTCCCTTTCGCACAACCACACGAAGGATTGAAACGATCCAGGGGAAGACAAACACTGACTTGGCAGTGAAGTATGACTTGACAGAATCACAAAGCACCTATTCAAAGTACAGGGAAACGGTTGTTTGTTGTGACCTGACTCTGAAGGACTTAATTCTGAATGGCATGGATGAATGATGATACCATTGGCTTGTTTGATTAAGAACCCAAAGATTTGCAGCTCATATGATAATCGGAGGTTACTCGTTTCCAGATCAGACTGGGCGAAACACAAATAACCGATAATACTTTGACGCGCTCAGATCGCCAAAAAGCTCGGTGACAGAAGACAGGTTCGACCACTTAACTGTGATTTCTATCCTTTGGGCGATTCTGAAAATGTTGTGGAAAATTCGGTGACTTTCTCGTGGTTTTGGATGTGGCTTCTGAGTTTACATCGAATTTCGGCTTCATAGGTATGACAACAACTGCAACAAAGCAATTCAGTATGGAGTCAAGACCGCCACAAAGAGTTTATGCGTATCATACAATAAGTCGGCAGTTCATCAATCGATAGCAAACTCAAAGTACGACGTCTGTGTACATTCTCTTGTCTGGCTACCTGGTTGCAGTAAGGCTTCATGTGAGTGTAACATTAAGTATTCATATCTCGTTATTGATGTTTGGTTCCTATGAGAAATCAGTCATCCATCATTGGCAGACCCCGAAACCACGGAAGAAATGCACCTTCTACAGTAGTGTGGTGAGATGCTGACTGATGTGAGTCACAGCTGACACAGTAAGTCCATATGCGCCACGTTACAACAGCTTCTTGAAGTTCAGTCAGCCTAAGACTTTATGTCTCATTTATAGGATATAAAATCAAGTTCTTTTCCGTAAATTCCTTGATGTGAACGTTCCCAGTGTGGTGCGTGAAATGAGATGGGATGATGACCATTCCGCCCAGCCATCTTCACCGACAACCACTGTGTGTGAAACGCCGTAAGATCCAGATTTTCATCAACACAGGACATTCGCTGAATTTGCCATGCAGCCAGAAAAGGTGCAAAATGCTACCTAGGTAACTTCACTGATCGATGAGCATGAGTTAAAGCGAACGTATGCGATGTTTACCAACTCAATCGAGGGTTGCTGCACTGTCACGAATGCAGTTTTGTTGTTTGTGCTAAGCCTCCATTGATGAGTTATCCTCTTACTGGGTCAGTCAGAGGATTGTACGCGAGTGCGGTGATGGATGATAGGAAGACATTTTGTCCACCGAATCAATGGCCGATATGGAGACGAAAAGGCTGGTGAACACATTTCAAGCTGAACTCATAAGTAGTTTCCTAGAGGAGTCAAGAGTTTAACCTGACACCTAGACTGCAAAGCCAAGCAGGTCAACTTTGCTCAGACCAGCTCCTCGAAAATGTAGACGATCCTCGACTGGGAATGCTTTGAGGTTCTCATGAAAATGTGGAAGGCTGATTGGCTGGCTAGAGTAGGTATGTAGTACAGGGTCAAACACACAGAACGTTACATCCTACTACTTGTGGACGGAACATGTTCAACTTGGGCGGTCCACAAGACTGGGCCAGCTACTGACAAGTTCTGGGGAAAAAATCACGGTTAACGTGAGTAATTTGCCGGAGAAGATACTCAGTGGGTTTGAAGACATTGTTTTAGGAGGTGAAAGTCATGTGATCGTACTAGAAAAATCAAGACCACTTTCCACACAAGGACACCTCTACGGGATAATGCCTTGATTATTCGACCACAATCTGCACATGCTTCAGATAACCCATTTTGAAGGGATAAGCGAGGTATCACGATGAGGTGTCGGAAGTCAGTGTGCGAAGCGCGGTTTTGAAGCATATGGAGGACGAGTAACATGCGAACAGATGTGATCAAACAAACATCGAGTACGTCTCCGGGCTGGTGGTGGAACATCTGCTTATCAGGTCGACAACAACCTTGCCAACCAATACACTCACCTGCATGGCAGTTTGGTTTTTACGGGAGACTCATCTGAAACCCCACTGAATCTCTCGTCTACGATGTTCTTTTTCATGAGTAGTGCATCGAGGCTACATAACTTTCTCAGCTTTTCTGCTACCAGTGAAAGGAAGAAGGCCTTCACTGCGGCGTTATTTATTAGAAAACACAAACTGAACAGTTACAGACTATTGGACAGGGAGGCAAAACTTTCATATGCATCTTGTTTACAAAAACTGAATACCCATCATATCTTTGAACGCGTCTTTCTGAACTTTCCTGGATATTCATTGACTGTTGCTCAAATCTAGGCAAATGCCACAAGGCGACTCCACAAATTTCGCAATAGATCCTACTTTTCAACAGACGCAAAGCGGATTTACAAGAAAACACTACTCGCATGCCTACCCCGTCAGTAGTATCACCGTCACACCAGTTTCGAAATTCCTGGGCTCCCGAATTCCCTCCAACTCTGCCTCACACAAGAACACTAGATCGGATCACTTTGAATCAGGGACTAAAACGGTAGCATCACAGACGAGAGAATTATTTGAGACTCGCGTTAATACCATGTTCAGTCGAACCTTAAGAGCCAACCTAGTGTCACGTGCACTTCATCCCACCACACGTACTGCTCATTCGTTTTTATTCTGAAAACG